CTCGCGGGGTGTGTGGTTATGTCATGTATATAATGTATATAATGTATATATTGTGTGTAATGTGCCTCCGTGGCGGTAGCGACGTCTGGGTTTGGGTGGTTACACGAAGCCCGAGCAGGAATTCAGTGGGAATTTCAGTTTTGGGATGCTCTGGGAACGCTCACACAGCTGGGGCTGCACAGCCAGCGTGCACATCTGGAGCCGGCTCAGCTCATCCTCTCTGGGCAAGGACAAGCACATCTGGGCGCCGCTGGCACACCTGGAGCCAGCGCAGCACATCTGGAGCTGGCACGGTGCCACACGGGGCTTTCCCAGGACGGAGCCCCGCGGAGCTGCGGCTTCCTGCGGCTCCCGGGCCCCGCTCCGCCGCCCTTCGACTGACGTGTCCTTATCTCCTCCTCATCTCCTCCTTATCTCTTCCGAGCACCCGGGGCTGCAGCTCAGAGCTCCGAGGGCGGCAGGGCAGCAGAGCGGGGGCTCCCACCCGCCTCTTTCCCGCAGATTTCTCTTTTCCCCCTGCTCAGGAATCACTGCCCCGGCTTTCCAGGCCTTTGGGGAAATGGGTGCTTCGCTCGGGTATTCCTCAGAGCCTGATGGACACGGAGGCAGCTGGGGCTGGCTTTAGGGAGGAATTCCTCGCTGGGAGGGTGCGGAGGCCCCGAGCAGCCCCTGGATCCCTGCGGTGTCCAGGGCCGGGAGCAGCAGGGGAAGGTGGAACAAGGTGAGGTTTGTGCTCCCCTCCAGCCCAAACCATTCCAGGGTTTTGTGATCCTCTGTGCAGAGGTGCAAACGCCTTTCCAGCATCCCGGTGCCCTGCAGAGTGCCCCTCCCGAGGCTGGCACTGCCCCGCAGCTCCCGCCAGCACCGCCGGGATGGTGCCTCGGGATGCCAGCCTGGCACGGCGTTGGGTCAATCCTCCCCAGATTTTGGGGGCACCGCTCCCCGAGCCCCGGCCCCGCTCCCCGGGGCTGTGCCGTGCTTTCCCAGCGCCCCCGCGCCGGCGGTGGCATCTCCGCGGCTCTTCCCTGCCCCTGTCACCGCCACCACCACCGCCACTGCCACTGCCACCACCCCCGTGCCCTTTCCCCAGCCCGGCCAGGCTTGGCAGGGGGGTGAGAGCGGGTTCATGGCACGTCTGTTATCCTCGGTGGGCACGCTCGGGCAGCGGGACGGGAAGGTCGGGACAGAGGAGCTCTGCGGAGCTCTTGTGTCACCCCCGGAGCTGTGCCCGGCGCGGGGCACACGGGGGACAGGGGGACACAGATGTGGCACAGGCTCGTCCCCTTCTCTCTCTGCTGGGGGACAGGGGGACACAGATGTGGCACAGGCTCGTCCCCTTCTCTCTCTGCTGGCAGCGCTGCGAGGGGACACCCGGGGTTTGATTTGACACCCGGGGTTTGATTTGACACCCGGGGTTTGATTTGACACCCGGGGGTTTGATTTGACACCCGGATATTTGATTTGACACCCGGGGTTTGATTTGACACCCGGGTATTTGATTTGACACCCGGGGGTTTGGTTTGACACCCGGGGTTTGATTTGACACCCGGGGGTTTGATTTGACACCCGGGGTTTGATTTGACACCCGGGTATTTGATTTGACACCCGGGGGTTTGATTTGACACCGGGGGTTTGATTTGACGCCGGGGGTTTGATTTGACACCCGGATATTTGATTTGACACCCGGGTATTTGATTTGACACCCGGGGGTTTGATTTGACACCCGGATATTTGATTTGACACCCGGGGTTTGATTTGACACCCGGGGTTTGATTTGACACCCGGGTATTTGATTTGACACCCGGGGGTTTGATTTGACACCGGGGGTTTGATTTGACACCCGGGGTTTGATTTGACACCCGGATATTTGATTTGACACCCGGGGTTTGATTTGACACCCGGGGTTTGATTTGACACCCGGGTATTTGATCTTAAAACCACCGCGGTGGCACCTGAGCCGGGGCTGGCTGGGGACACTGTCCCCACTGGGATTTCCCTGTCCCCACTGGGATTTCCCTGTCCCCACTGGGATTTCCCTGTCCCCCGGTTGGCTTCCCGGGGGACAGGGACATGCCAGGGGACAGGGAACCAGCGCTGCTTGTGCCCCGCTGGCACCGCGCTCCGGGGCGGGATTGGGTTGCTCTGAGCAGGAAATATTCCCAAATCCAAGCCGGGACAGCTGCAGGAACAAGGAAGGTGATGCCGATGTCAGAGGGGATTTGGCTGTGATTTTTGGCTGCGGTAAAAGGGCACCCGAGATACGGGGGAGTTGAAAGTCAGTTTGTCCTTCCTGCGAGCCGTGCCAGGGAGCGGCCCCCGCCCCGGCCCAGCAGCACGGCCACGCAGCAGCCGGGAAAAGGAAATTTGGGGCAGGGTTTTGCTTTTCCCCGCCGGGGCGAGCCCAGCGTGCCCCGAGTCCCTCCTGCACGGCCCGGCCGTGCCCAGGCAGGTCACGGCAGCGAGAAAATTGGGAATAACCCTTCCCCAAAGGGGCTGCAAAGACAGCCGCGGTCACGGGCAGTGAATGCCCCGCTCTGCCTGCCCTCCTCCGCCCCGAATGAGCCCTGCAGGAGGGACAGGAGCGGCCTCGGCAGCGCTGGGATGGTTGGACCGGACGGTCTCTGAGGGCTTTTCCCACCGAAACCATCCCAGGTTTGACGGGATTGCTGCTATTTCC